GCTGACAACTAGCACAACACCTGGACCTCAACTAAATAATTCTTTGATGAAATGAACTAAGTGGCTCAGAAAACCATCCGGCAAATTGCACTACCTGGTACATGGTGATGGTCCTGAGAAATGCCAGATGCAGGAATAATTCTAAATTTTCCTAGAATAAGCAAAGATTTTAAGAGGGAAGTAAAAAGAAGACTGCTGATGAAGACATCATGCTAAGTGCCCTGAAAAGGGAAGAAAAAGCAGATGTGTTCACTATTTGCTTTTCTTACTTAGCCACAATTATTACACCTTATAAAAGAAACAAGTTAAAATAATTCAAACGGGGAAAAGGAATAGTCTCCTCTCTTTCTAGCATGATTCTTTTTTCTGCCCCTAGTGAAAAAAATCTGAAAATTGACTAAATTTTATATGTATAGAAACCTCCAGAAGGATACACACAAGTATCAGTGGTTATTTGTTTAGCACCAGACACGGTGGTGGAGCCACGCACTAGAAGGGGAAAATTACAGTTACTGTACATCTTTTTTGTACCTTTTGAATTTTGTACTTCAGTACACATACTATTTATTCCCCTAAAAATTCATAAAATATTTTTTAAAAGAGATCAGGCTAAAAGGGCTTACCTCCTCCACAGTACAGTGTGGACGCCTCAGACCCTTGCCACCCTCTTCAGAAATCATCTCTGTTACAACCTGTTCTTGAGGCTTCCAGGTTAAGGAACTTTCTGAAGTGCCTTTGCTGTGGCGACGGACACCTGGTCTTCTACTATACACTTCTGAGTTCAAAGTAAAACTGTGAGACAGAAAAAAAGAAAAGAAAGAGTTACCACCAAACTGCTTAAATTGCTGGAATGTAAGTTCCCCAACTATTCTGTGATTAAGCTGTCTGTCCTAGGTTAAGTCTGCTCCTGACAAACCAGAAAACTACCATTCACAACAGTTAAATCTATCTCTAAAGCAGAGGGCACCCCAGCATTACGCCCTGCCACACGGAAGCCTCTGCCTCCTTCCTCATGCCCACATGTCCAACCACAACTCTGGATTTAGCTCTGTTATTGCACACACCCTCCTCGGGCACTATGCTCTGTCTTTAGTCACCTGCACCAGTGGCATTACTGATTGGTGTGACTCTCTGTTTACTGTCTCCATCCCACCCTGAACTTTAGGTCCCATGAAAACAGAGATGACATCCTTTCACCACTGTATCTTAGTACAGCACTGAAGCCAAAAGGTACTCAGTAAATATCTACTGAATGCTGAATTAATGAATGCTAAGGAAATGCAAGCCATGAAGCCCTCACCCAGTCCTTGTTGCTGGTGACAGAGCCTGCACTGCCTGCTGTATTCAATAATGGGTCAAACTGGTGTAATACCCCTCTTGATGTGATATTTTAAAAAGGATAAGCAATTGATGTAGTATTTTTACAAAAAAAAAAAAAAAGAAAAGAAAAAACAAAAACAAAAAACCACTGCATAATCTTGAACAGATCATGAATAAATATCAGACAAAATTAAGGAACACCCTACAAAAGAAATGCCTTCTACTCTTTAAAAATATCCATGCCATCAAGGACAAAGAAAAGCTAAGGAACTGTTCCAGATGAAAAGAGATCAAAAAGACATAAAAATTAAATGTATTACATGATTCTGCACGGAATCCTTGACCAGAAAAAAATAATCTCTATAATGGGGAATTGTTAATAAGATTATATAATAGTATTGTATCAATGTTAAATTTTCTGATTTTGTTAATCTGTGATTATGTAAGTGAATGTCCTCACTCTTAAGAAATAAACACACTCATGCACTTACAATTAAAGGAGCATGAGCCCTACCTAGACTTACTCTCAAATGCTTCAGAAAAAAACATTAGGTATATGTGACAGAGCATGATGAAGCAAATGAGGCAAAATGAGAACAACTGGTACAAGTGGGGGAAGGGCAGAGAGAGAGGGAGAGAAAGAATCCCAAGCAGGCTGTGCACTGTCAGAGCAGAGCCTGACACAGGAATCGATCTCACAAACCATGAGATCATGACCTGAGCCAAAATCAGGAGTCAGATGATCAACTGAATGAGTCACCCAGACGCCTCTATAGAGTTTTAAAATACATAAAGACAAAATGCATGAAGCAAAAACTGACATATATAGGAGAAATAGACAAATCCATAATTATAGTAGAAAATATCAACACTCCTTGTTCATCAATCGGCAAAAAGGTAGACAGAAAATCGGTAAGACTTGTAAAACATCAGTCAACTTGACCTAACTTGTCAATTCTAGAACATTCCACCTAACAATAGCAGAATACATATTCTTTTCAAGTGCACATTGAACATCATCCAGGTAGACTATATTCATGTCATAAAAGAAATGTTAACAAACTTTAGAGAAGTGAAATTATACTACAGTATATTCTCTGACTGTAATGGAATTAAATGAGAAATAACAAAATGATATTTGTACTTTCTCTTTTAGTCCTACAATCAGCTATTTATTCAACTCCAAAGGGCCTGCTTTTAAGTTAGTATCCTATTCATTTTTTTTTTTCAATGTTAATTTTTGAGACAGACAGAGATAGGACAGAGTGTGAGTGGGGGAGGGGCAGAGAGCGAGGGAGACACAGAATCCGAAGCAGGCTCCAAGCTCTGAGCTGTCACCACAGAGCCCGAGGCAGGATTAGAATTCATAAACTGTGAGATCATGACCTGAGCTAAAGTCAGACGCTTAACCAACTGAGCCACCCAAGTGCCCCAAGTTAGTGTCTCATTCCTAAACATGAATGGAGAGCCAAGGGTTACCAGGTAATTGAACAAAGACTCTAATATGAAAAGATATCTATACTCCCATGTTCACCTAAGCATTACTTATAACAGCCAAGACATGGATGGATAAAGAAAACACACACTGAAATGTTATTCAACCATAAAAAAGAAGGAAACCTTGCCATTTGCAAAAACACAGATGGACCTTGGGGGTATGATGTTAAGTGAAATAAGTCAGATGGAGAAAGACAAATAAGATCTCACTTATATGTGAAATCATCAAAACAAACAAATAAATCTGAACTCACTTCCAGTCATCAAATAAATACAACATAGGATATAATGTATAGCATGGTGGCTATAATTAATCATATCATGTTGTATATTTAAAAGTTACTAAGAGGGGCGCCTGGGTGGCTTAGTCGGTTAAGCGTCCGACTTTCGCTTAGGTCATGATCTCACGGTTCGTGGGTTCGAGCCCCGCGTCAGGCTCTGTGCTGACTGCCAGCTCAGAGCCTGGAGCCTGTTTCAGAGTCTGTGTCTCCCTCTCTCTCTGATCCACCCCTGTTCACGCTGTCTGTCTATCTCTCTCTCTCCTAGAAATAAATAAAAATTTAAAAATAAATAAATAAATAAATTTTTAAAAATAAATAAATAAATAAATAAAAGTTACTAAGAGAGTAGATCTTAAAAGTTCTCATCACAAGAAAAAAATTTTAACTCTGTATGGTGATGGACATTAATTAAACTTATTGTAGTGATCATTTCACAACATATGCAAATATTAAATCATGTTATACACCTGAAATTAATGTTAATTATAGTTCAATAAAAAAAAAACCTCAAATATGAAAGATAAGACCCAAATAAACCAAAATGAGGAAAAGAATTCAGAGGAAATAAAGTAGGGAGGAGAAGAAATTTTAAATTAACAGCTTCAGAGAGATAAGATACTATATCCTTTTTTTGCCTCTTTTTTTTTTTAAAGTAATCTCTATGACCAATGTGGGGCTAGAACCCACAACCCCAAGATCAAGAGTCACACGTTCCACTAAAGCAGCCAGGTGCCTCCCCTTTGTTGCCTCTTTTGATAAGAACAAGAAGAGCAAGAAAAAGCCATAGGGAGGAGGGAGTGGGAGGACTCTTACAACTTCAAAACTATGACATAAAAAAAAAAAATCAGTAAAAGATTTTTTACAGAACAAAAGAATACATACAAATTAGATCAATCAGATCAATACAGAGGAAAATAAGGTCTAATATCCAAGCAATAGAAATTCTACAAAGTGAGAACACAGAAAGGAGAAGAAAATTACTAATAAAAACATTTTATAAAACTAATACATGTTCAGTGTACAAAAACTCATCATGGTTTCTGCACTTTCTATATGTGTATTATACTTCAAAAATAAAGTTCAGGGAAAAAATTAAGTTCAGGGAAGGTGGGGGGGATGGGTAAAATAGGTGATGGGGATTACAGAGTACACTTATGATGGGCACTGAATAATGTGTAGAAATGTTGACTCACTCTATGGTTTTAACTCTAATGTTAAAACTAACATTAACACTGTATATTAACTATACTAGAATTAAAATAAAAAACTTAATAAAAATAATAAATTTTAGAAGTGAGCAACAAATCTTTTTTAAAAGGTTTTCAAAATCAGATGCTATAAGCATATGACATGCTATAGAAAAAGTAACACACACCTGGTTCAAATCTCTAGAAAGCTGTATGATATTTAGCAAATGGCTGAACTCAGAGTGCTTCTTAGCAAGATTACATAAAAGAATAAAAGTAAGAATCCCTAGCAAGAGTGAACACCTAATAAGTGCTAAGTTTCCATTTACAGAAAGGCAGAATTTAACACTTACCCAAAGGAAGGCAGGACTCTGCGAGGCTGATCTCGGGTTACTGTCACTCTGATCTTTGGATAGTCACTTATTCCATTAGGAGATTTATTACCTATTTTAAAAATGCATTTGTAATAGTAAAAAAAAAAAAAACCCAAACCCAAACCCAAAAACCTGTGAAGAGTCTGCATTAGAAAATCTGTGAGCAGACTACATTGTAGAACTAAATATCTTATTCTTTCAAATTCTATTACTATATAGCACAGAGATCCAGCACAAGCTGTAAAAGTTGGAGGAAAAGCAATAGTGCGTAGTTTGTCTTGGACCTCGAAGAGATCAGGAAAATTCACAGGCGAGCTCTTCAAGTTTCACTTGCTCAGACCATCAAGAAGCATGAGGAACTGAGGGATTACAAACTCCCTGTAATCTCATCAAATTGAGTGAGTTGTTGAAATCATTTCTTCTTCCCCAGAAAACAGAAGTTATTATATTTTTTAAAAAAATAGAAGTTATTTTTAAATGAAAACCTGCAGGGCGCTTGGGTGGCTCAGTTGGTAAAGCGTTCTGCTTCAGCTCAGGTCATGATTTCGCAGTTCGTGGGTTCGAGCCCCACATCGGGCTCTGTGCTGACAGCTAGCTCAGAGCTTGAGGCCTGTTTCGGATTCTGTGTCTCCCTCTCTCTCTGATGCTCACCTGCCCATGCTGTCTGTCTGTCTGTCTGTCTGTCTCTCTCTCTCTCTCTCTCTCAGAAATAAATAAAACATTAAAAAAATTTTTAAACAAAAAATAAATGAAAACCTGTTATAGGTTACTCAGTTCACTGGAACTGAGATGGTTACTATACCTCAAAAACAGGTAACCACACTTTCATCAGCCACATTCACTGCTGGAGCTACTACAGAGGTATGGAGACCGTGAGGACTCCAAAATGTTAAGAGATTTCAAACTGAAAGTTTTTCACTTAAGTCTGTAGCAGCAAAACTTAAACTGACCTGACTTCATTTGTTTGCAAAATCTGATTTGTTTGCAAAATCTGATTTGAACCAATGTACAATCCCAGTGAGATTGTAACAATATTCGATAAACACCATATACCTAAAATACGAAAAAGTCTAAATTCCCAAGCCCATCTTCAAGGGTTTCAGATAAGAGACTGTACAAGAAAGGTGCGCTAGGAATACCTGGGTTTCTCTGACTAGGCTACACAAATACACAGAAACATAGTGTTGGCACCTCAGGCACAAGACAAATGTACTGGTCCTTCTGTAGGTCCATCTTAATAATAAATAACTTCTTTAGTAGTTGTTTTTTTATTATGTTTATTTTATTTTTGAGAGAGACCATGAGCAGGGGAGGGCAGAGAGAGAGGGGTCAGAGGATCCAAAGCAGGCTCCACGCTGTGTTGACAGCAGACAGCCCAACATGGGGCTCAAACTCATAAACAGTGAGATTATGGCCTGAGCTGAAGTAGGATGCTTAACCGACTGAGCCACCCAGGTGCCCCCAAAATAAATAACTTTTAATATTTATATGTTCAAACAATATGAATAGATTATAAAATTTTATTTGTACAGTGCCTCTAAAATGAAACTGCAAAAAAGTATCATCTTTGTTCCAGGTGCTTTAGAACTAGGTTCTCAGACTCAGGGATATGCACTTACTTCCCGCTGCTCTTCTCTTCTACCAGAGATACTTTACTAAAAAAGTTTGAGAAGCACTACTGTAAGGTTTTTATAGTTTCCTCAATTTCTTCCACTTTTGATCTATGAACCCACAACTTTTCTAAAAGCTTTTTCCCTGTCTCTCAAACTTTATATGCCTATATGACAGACATCACAGCCATTCTCAGGAGTCTGGATTCTTCCTATTTTTCCCCATGATAGAATTTTATACAGTATGTACAATAATTACAATTCAACCTTGGGCTCCAACAGTAATATGGAGATTCCTAATCCATAAAAGTATGAGAACCAGAAACGTAAAGTTGCTCTCCAATCAGATGATGCTCCTCAAAGGCAGGGTTTTATTATTTTGCTATTTGTTTTATATTTCGTTATGAAAAGTTTTAATTATTGTTTTGTTATTTTGTTATTCTTGATAACGCCTGCATGGCACAGAGTAAGCTCTCAGGAAATGTTTTCATTTGTTTTTCTTATGAATGAACCTTGAACTAAGTCTCACTAAGGACACTGATAATACAAATAGAAAACACAAACAGTAAATTCAATGACAATTCTAAAAGAAAGCTATTTAATCTTTAGAATGGTAGAGAGAATGTGTCTATGTTCTTATCCCAATCCAAATCAGTGTTTTCCTTTCATATTCTCAAAACTCAGAAAACAGAGACAGGAGGTAGAGGAAAGCAGAAAAATTTTTGACCACCTCACCCAGTTTCAGCATGTTGTTCCAGGATCCAGAACCTGTCAGTTCACAAGATGAAGAATTCGAAAATACCTTAAAATCAAATAGAACCACCTCTGTAGTATCTAAATTTTAGAATTTAAACAAGTTTTTAATATTAAAAACAATCACTCTCATGGTGATTATTTTGCTAGTTCACAGAAGAGATATCATTAGTGAGACCAAAGGTTAAATTGGTGAAGACTCAAAAAATTATATACAAAATAACAATTCTAGGTTCTTTACATACAGTACTTAAATAAGAAAAGCAGATGTATTAGTAGTTGGGCTCTTTATAAATATTTTTTAACTGTACTATTTCTTAACCTTTAAATTCTTGGCCTTTATATCAACGTTAATAAAGAATGGTTCTGGGGGAAAAAAAAGAATGTTTCTGCAATCAATGTTTCTGGAAACAAGTCATTCTACTCACTAATTCCTAAAAAGAGAATATTTCTTTTTTTTAAATAAAGTTGTATTTATTTAAGTAATCTCTATATCTAACGTGGGGCTCAAACACACAACCCCAAGATCAAGAGTCGCGTGCTCTCTGACTGAGCCAGCCAGACATCCCATAAAAAGGGAATATTTCTAAATTTTAACTTTAATGATGAAGTATAAAAATCAGTAACCCCAACGAAACCCTCTCCCCACTGACCTCTCCTGAAGGGGCCACATTCCGTGTTCCATTACAAGCAGAAGTTACCATGGGCTTTGTGGTCAGCTGGAATGGGAATCCAAATAAGCTGGCAGCATTGTAGAGACTGGTTTTTACTTGGTGAATGAAATAATCTAGAAAATATAATATAGAGTAATAAACTCCTAGCAAAAAATTAAGATTATATCTTAGAAAAGGCCTCTCTCAATCTTTATTAGAAACCCTTTCAATCATTGATAAGAAGGTGACTGTAAAAGTAATTTTTATTCTATCTGAATAACTGGACTTCCAGCATTGTAATTTGGAGGGGGAGGGTTGTTTTTTGAGTTATTTTTTGTTTCTGGTTTTTTTTTAAGTAAACTCTAGGCCCAACATGGGACTTGAACTCACAATCCCAAGTTCAAGCTCAAGAGTCACATGCTCTACTTACTAAGCCAGCCAAGCAGCCCATGATTTTTGTTTTTCAACAAAATATCTCTTCTGGGATGTTATGAAAACATGAAATCATCACTTTAACAAACCACATACTGATTCATAAAAAAAAGTCCTAAAATGACAACTTTTTTTTAATGTTTATTTAGAGAGAGACAGAGCATAGACAAGCGGGAGGGGGCACTAAAGAGGGAGAGAGAATCCCAAGCAGGTTCTGCGCTATCAGCACAGAGCCCAACATGGGGCTCAATCTCAAAAACCATGATCATGACCTGAGCCAAAATCAAGAGTCAAACACCTAACCAACTGAGCCACTCAGGCACCCCCTGAAATGACAACTTTTAAGCAATGAGTCTTTAGAATATATAAAATAAATAAGTAAATAAGCCAGAGATATAGGGGCATAACTTAATCTGCAGCATGTAGACTTTAAGTAAGGCAGAATCCTACAGGAAGCACTATAATTTACTCACTGGTTTGTCCTTACTTCCTGCAAAGGTAACAATATACTCCTAAATAACTACTTACTAAGTGCCTATTTTACATTGGCCACTGCCAAGGTGGAAATTAGTAAAGTATAAAACATGTAACTCTTAAACATCTCTGACGAATAAAGGCTATTCCTCTACTGGAGAAGATGTGTCAGATCTGATGCCACCTCCCTGACACCAAAATAAAGATTACAAAGTGAGTAAGTAAACAAATAAGGGGGAAGGGTAGATTTCAGTACTTGCCCCACTTCCTCTTTTCAGGATACTACCCCTTTCTCATTTCTGACACTGCCGATCGGTTCTCCACAATTTCCTTTCTATTTCCCAATTAAGGTATTTTAAAGCACTAGCTTGAGAGAGAAAGAGAAAATCAATTTAGCCACATTCTGCTAAATTTTTTTAGAGGAAAAAAAAAGCTTAAAATTGAAATGGTGGCTCTTAAACAACAAGCACTCCAGAAATTATAAGATATAAAACAGAAATATGTGGCACCTGGGTGGCTCAGTCGGTTAAGTGTCCAACTTCAGCTCAGGTCATGATCTCACAGGTTGTGAGTTCAAGCCCCACATCGGACTCTGTGCTAACAGCTCAGAGCCTGGAGTCTGCTTCGGATTCTGTGTCTCCTTCTCTCTCTGCCCCTCCCTTATTCATGCCCTGTCTTTCTCTCTCTCTTTCTCAAAAATAAATAAACATGAAAAAAAAATTTAATATATAAAACAGAAATAGAAACGTAAGGGAATAACTTAAACAACAGGGAGGAGGGGCACCTGGGTGGCTCAGTCAGTTAAGCGTCCAACTTCCACTCAGGTCATGATCTCATGGGGTTCCTGGGTTCGAACCTCAAGCTTGAGATTCTGTCTCCCTCTCTTTCTGCCCCTTCCCCACTCATGAGCACACGCATGCTCTCTCTCTCTCAAAATAAATAAAGTTTTAAAAAACGACAGGAAGGATATAATAACAAGTAAAGCAGAATGCAGTATGAAGTAATTTTTAACTACAGACTAGGTAAAAGTATCAAATTTTGCAAATAACTTGTTTCTCATTTTAGGACTTAGAAAATTTCAGATTATCCCTCTAGTAATAAATCTTACATTCTGCTTTTTTTTTTTTTTTTTTAAATGTTCATTTATATTTGAGAGAGAGAGAGCATGCACACACATGGGAGGGGTAGAGAGAGAGAGAGAAGAGGACAGAGTATCCAAAGCGGGCTCTGTGTTAACAGCAAGAGCCCGATACGGGGCTTGAACTCATGAACCATAAGATCCTGGCCTAAGCCGAAGTCAGATGCTTAACTGAATGAGCCACCGAGGTGTCCCTCTGCTGTGTTTTCTTAAGTGAAAGAATAAGAGCTTTGGAGATTGATGCTTAACCACTAGACTGTCATCCAGACCCCAGAAGGCATGGTGTACTCTTAATAGCTAACAGAGTGAAATAATGGATGCTAAAGTGCATTGCAATA